ATCCGAACCTTTTCGAGTCCGAGTGCCTCAGATCTCTAGGCTTTGCTTACCCTTTTCGAGTCCGGGCCCGAGTAAGTCTCTAGGTTCGTGGATCCGAACCCTTTCGAGGCTTAGAGCGATTCAATCCGTTTGATGGCGATAAATCTGGGCCCACCGATTCTTGGACTTGCGATAAATTCGGGCTCACTAATCTTGGGCTATTGGGCCTAAATAATTTAGTGGGCTCAAATTAGCCCCTCTTACATTTGCCCCTTGCGTGTATGAGAAATTGTAATTTTCTCGGACATGCATAATTTCACCTTATCAGCCATGCTTCACATTATGTCTTCGAGAATATTTGGCCTTGATAAAATCTATGGATAAAAACTGAGGACTCACTGAAAATTACGGATAAAATTGACAACTAATAAAAAAATAAATAAATAACTAACTCTTTTTTCTTTTCTTTTTTTTTGGGGAAAAGAAAACTAGAAGTTGAATTACTCTCCACCAACCAAACCTGGACATGTAATTAATAAGGCACCAAATAAGTTGCTCAAAGAAAATAATAATAATTCTTTTCTTTTCGTGAAGCAAATAAAATCAAAAGTTTGACCATTTTTTTTTTTTTTTAACTCCAGAAGCCCAAATCAAAGGCCACCATATATATATATATATATATTCAGGATATTTGAGAGAATATGCCAAGAATCAAACCCTTTTTTTTTTTTTAATATAAGGAAAAAAGACAAACCCTAGTCTATAGCTATTTGTTTGTTGCCCACAGCCATTCGGCTTTCTCTCTCTCTACACAGAGAGACCAACCCAGGTCTCTTCTTCTTTTTTTTGTTTTCTTTAACAAATCAGAGGCTAATGTTGTGCGCTCCTTCAACAAACCAGAGGCTCTATTTCACCATCGGTGTTTTACTTCGGCTTAGCGACCCAACTCCTCAGAGATCCAGGCACATCGGAGCTCGATTTCGCCGACAAACGCCGACGTTGACTCGTCTGCGACACCACTGTCGCTGCTGTCTTGCGCCACCAGCTCATGCTATCACTAGCCTAGCTCGTCACTGAAGACCCACAAACCACCGTAGTCGGCCTATCCGAGAGTCAGCCGTGGCACTGTTCTTTGCACGCGACCACCCAATTCGCGTAGCATGTGCGCTTCATGTCCAGCACCTGTGAGATCGCTGCTTCTATCAGACGCGACCGCCCAGTGCCGACCACGTCGCCCTCGCAACGCGTCGTTGGTCCGTCTAGCATCTTTCTTACATAGATCTCGGCCTTGCTTTACTTTTCTGCTCCAAACACTGTCTACTTTGCCACTGCCAATCGGTGCCGTTACTTCATCACAGCAATGTCTTGCCGAGCGCCGTTCACCGCGCCGTCGGCCTTCAAGAGAACCAGCCGCAGTCTTGCCTTGCGTGGACAATCTTGACTTATGGCTTATGCCATTTGTTGTTTCTTCCTTCTTTTAGCTTCACGCCTTAACCATTGTTACATCAGATCTGTTAGCAAGTATTTGAAGTCCTCTTTTTGAACTTCTTATTTGTATAAACTCTGATTTATAAATTTTTGGATAATGTAACCCATAAATTTCTACTGTTGCACATCTTGATGAAGAGATCTTGATTTTTTTTTTTTGTGTGAATATTGGAATAATCAATGTTGAATCCTTGCTAATTTTATTGAAGAAATCTGGCTTTGTTGTCTTGAATCCATGCTATTGAATCTTGAACCTGTGTCGATAATTTTGACAATAATTTTGACATACATACAGGTCTGATGTTGAACCCTTCGAGCGCCACCGTCGGCTTTTGCGCGAACCCACCACGGCGCTGCTCTGTGCATGACCACCTCAACTCACGCGGCTTGTCTGTCTCGTGCCCAACTGCAACTGACCAGTGACGACCACGCCTACTCAACGTGGCGTCGGTCTGTCGATATGCCTTCTCGCCTACTGAAATCCATCACTGTTAGCCGTGACCTGCCAACGCCGACCATACCACCGATTCAACATGGTGTTGGTCTGCCTAGTTGTTCTAGTGCCAACCACACACGTTGCCCTTTCAACGCGTCATGTGTGGTCACCAACTTCGCTGCGACATCACTGTTGCCTCCGGCTTCGGATTGTCCGACATTGACCACACACGTCCGCCCACTCAACGCGACGTGTGTGGTCTTGCCTAGCACTGCACAGCTCGTGCCACCGCCGACCTACTGTCTTCAATTGTGATCTAGCCAATGCCGACCATGCCGCCCTCTCAACGCGGCATCGGTCATCGGCCCATCCTCTTTGTGTTGCTATTTCAGATTGCCGAAACCCATTCTTGAATATATATATATATATATATATATTTGTTGTTCATGAACTTGGGCTTGCAAAAATATATATGGGATTTGTCTTCTTCACTTCTGAAATTGTTAATGTCGATTCTAGCTTTCCATTGACCCATCTTTATTTGGCTTTCACAGGTTTTGTGAACAATTTTCTAGAACCCTTAAAATTTGACTTTCCATTTCTGATGGCTTTTAAGTTTATGCACTTGGACAGGTAAACAATTTGGGTTTTGCTACCTCTGTTTGTCTAGAGTCAGAGTCTTGTATAAACTGGGTCTATAATATTGAATATTGTAATATGAGAGAGAATGACCCACTTGAATCTTGTATGAGTTATTGATGTTGAGGAAGAACATATAATCCACGTGAGTGTTGTTGCTAGCTTTGCTTAAATGGGACGAATAAAATAATTATTGTTGTTGTCGATGAAACCCGAGAAAATAAACCCCTCATACTGTATATAAATCTTGTTATCGAATGATTGATTGTTGCAACCCCGAGAATATTAGATATCATGCTCGAACTCCTGATGTAGAATTCATCGTAGGACTTGTTGATATGATGAAATACCTCGTTGAATAATAAAGATGATATATTGTTGTTTGTTTAACTTGTGGATGCTTGGGAAATACATAGCTGATGCCAAAATTTTGTGTGACCGTTGTAGATTTACGTCGGCTTGAGAGGAACCAGCCCGGAGAGACAAAAACTTGATTGTTGCATTTTCATGACCTTGCTCAGAGTAATAAAATTGTTGTAGCTTAAATAGATAATTATTATTTGTTGATGTTGCCCCCATTCTGATAATGCCTAAATCATGATCTGAAATTGATATTGTTTGTCTCGTTTGTTGGCTTTGCTATTTCAGGCAAATGAATTCTTGATTGAAATCCACGACCTCGGGGCCCTTGGAAGCCGCACTAATGAGAGCAAGGGCTGTTCCTTGGAAGTCCGAACAAAAGCAAGACTGTCCCTCGGGAGTCCGAAGGTAGCACACACCCTACTTTGGCAAGAAAGATTCCTCTGGAAGATAACCGAGTCTACCAAGCTTGCACCAACAGAAGTAAAGATTGTCTCTCAGAAGTTCGAGCGAAAACAAGGCTGTCCCCCAGAAGTCCGTGTAGAAATGAGGCTGTCCCTCGGAAGTCCGAGTGGATGCGCACTTATACTTCGGCAGCTAATAGAAGCAAAGGCTATCCCTCGGGAGTTCGAGTAAGAGTTCACTCTACTTTGAAAAGAAAGATCCTCGGAGTTCGTATTGATGAAATCAAGGGCTGTTCTTTGGACCCGCACTAATGAGAGCAAGAGTTGTCCCTCGGAAGGCTTTCCCTCAGAAGTCCGAGCAGAAACAAGGCTGTCTCTTGGAAGTCCGAGTGGATGCGCACTTCTACTTCGGCAGCTAATGGAAGCAAAGGCTATCCCTCGAAGCTTGCACTGATGGAAGCCATGACTGCTCTTCGGAGGTCCGAGTGGAAGTATACTTCTACTGTGTCAAGAAAACTCCCTTCAGGATGGTAACTGAGTCTACCATTTCTTTTTCTTCTTTGAGGGGCAACAAAAATTGAAAATGTAAATGTCATAAGTAGACTTCTTTTACGGAATGTTGACATTTGCCCCTAGAGTTGCAAGATCATTTGGGAAGCTTTCACCAGCTGCTCGGGTTGTGGCCGTCATATACCATCATAGCCATGTCTTTGGATCTTTTTGTACAGACTGATATCCCCATCCCCGCAGGATTTTTCATGAATCTGTTGTAGTCGGAAACTTGCTTCTTGTTGGCCAACACACCGAGCTAGGAATCCGGTACCTTCTCGGAAGTAAAGTTCACCTTGAATAATTATGAATTGGGCAAGCTTAGCCATAGTCAATTTTCCAACTTTGCTTCTGAGTTGTTCGAGGACTTCTCCTCTCCAGCCCTCCAGAAGGCCTTTGTCTTCAGGTATTATCGAAGGCTCTGTTCTCTTCTTGATAATAATTGTCGCCTCCTCCTCTGGGATATCAACTCCTGCCCCTAATGTAGCGAGGGCATCTGAAAACTTGTTATCGGAACGAGGCACATGCTCTATTTCAACCTTCTGAAATTTGTCAAGAAGCCTTCGGACTGTTGTTCGATATGTGGCCAAGGCAGGCTCCTTTAAGACGAACTGTCCTGAAACTTGCTTCACTATCAACTTTGAGTCCCCCCGAATCCGAATCTTCTTGATACTGTGCTTCTCAGCTGCTATCAAGCCTAAAATAAGAGTCTCATACTCGGCTTCGTTATTCGAACAATGAAAATCCAGTTTATAAGACAAATATAACTTTTCCCCACTTTTGCTTGTAAGGACTATCCCGGTTCCTCCCTTCCCTCCGGCTGCTGCTCCGTCAAAGCTCAATGTCCAGAAGCTTTCCTCGGAAGCCATAGCTGCGTGCACCTCTCCTCTTAATTCTTCATTCACTGGTTCATAGTCACCACTCGGAAATTGGGCAAGGAGATCAGCTAAGGCTTGGCTTTTGATCGCCTTGGGGGCTACACATCTTGCTACCTTCCCGGTTAGAGCAGGCTTGCTGAGGAGGTATCGGATTGGATCACTTCTAGTAACAATCTGAATCTGATGTGCTAGGAAGTAATGTCTGAGCTTTTGGGCAGTGAATACCAAAGCTAAACAATGTCTCTCTACTGGAGTATATCGGACTTCTGCCCCTCGAATCTTCCGACTGATGTAATACACCGGGCGTTCTACTCCATCTACATCTTGGACCAATAATGCCCCTATGGACTTGGGGGTTGAAGTTAGGTACAACATTAGAGGCACCCCGGGCTGCGGGGCTATCATGGTCTGAGACGAGGTCAAGGCCGCCTTGATTCTCTCAAAGGCCTTTTGGTGCTCTTGGTTCCACTCGAACTTAGCATCTCCTTTTAACAAAGAGCCGAAAGGCGCAGAGATCTCTGCCAGTGCTGGGATAAACCTCCGAATATAAGACACAATGAGGCAATAACCTTGGCTAAAAGAGGGGTCTTGGTTGAGATATTTAAAGAACTTGACTATTAGTTCTTGATCCTTGACAAAGATGGACAGTTGAGTCCTGGGTACTTGAAACCGACGAGTCATGATCTTGGTCAAAGGAAAGAATGAATTTTAGCCGACATAATATATGAATAAGCGATATAGGTTCCATTACCTCAGGGTGCCGAAGTAATAGAATCTAGAGGGTAGTTGTGGGGATATATTTTGTGAATGACAGCACGTGGCCAAGGTGACATGTGTCAGCCGAGATGCCACGTGGCCTCATCATGCGCTGAGATGATCTTGGCTAGGCCGAGGTTATCTGCGGAGATACGGAATCCGAGATGAGCGGATAAGGGACAAGAGTCCTAGAACAGGGGAGAATCTCAGTCTAGATAAAGATAAAACTCTTAGGGAGTTTATCCCTATCTAGCTGAGAGTCCAGGATGAGCATTGAGCCTGAGTCCACTGAAACGAGGCTTCTATAGGGATTAGGTCAGCATTGGCTATAAAGTAGGGCACTCTCGTGGGTCTCAGGTATGTGTGATATACTGTGAGCAATAAATTCTTTTTAGTGAGTTTAAACACTATTTGCTATCTGTGAGAGATATAGATCACTGACTTGATCGTTGGAGTGTCCCCGAATTGACAAACCACCGCCAGATTCTCATCTTCTTATGCAGGTTGTTAGGCTTAATCTATTCTGCCGGTACTCTCCAACTGAGTTCCCCATTTGGTTGTGTGGTCAAAAATTAACACCCACACTCATGAACACTAAGCGGTCCTAGAGAGGGCACTTTGGTGCCAATATGAGTGAATTTTCAGATTTGAGTCTATGAAGAGATATTGACATATATTGTAATTTAACTACTAATATATTAATCGCTATCTTATAAAAAAAATATATATATACATATATATATGTATCGATTATTCATCTCTCATTTTAAGGACTGATTGTGTTGTTTATTATGAGCTATGCATTGAGTGATTATTGGGGTTGAGTTGTTTTTTACTTTGCATTATGAGTTGTTTCTTGTGGTGATTGGTGAGTTGTTATATTATCATTATCTAAATTGATATACTCTTTCTTATTTTTATAATTTATCTGTTATTGATTAACAAAAATAAAAATCATATTTTCAAGAGACTTAGTCATATTTTTTAAAAATTTGAATCTTAAGAGCATCTCTAATTGTTTTTTTTTGTTTTTTTTTTTTGTTGTG